CTATATAGAAGTGCTGCGTGTGTGTTCCTATGCTCTTTTTATCCACACTCGGGTTAGTGGGGCCGTGGTCCCGATCTGGAACAGACAGTTATATCTTCATTCTTCCTGTGGAGAGTTTTAAACCAGTATGTTTTGTATGTCCAGAGTCCGTGTTTGTCAGTAAAAGGGGCGATTTGAGCTCTTTAAAGCAAACATTTACATCCAAAACGAAGAACGGAAAAATGAACAATCAAAGAGCATGATTTTGCTTTTCTAATATAATAGATAATATTTTTTCTTGATGACATCATCACAATGCATGTCACACTTGACATGCACTTCATGCATGACAATTTATAACTTTTCTAACATTAAGTACTTTATTTTAAGATTATCTTTTTAAGATTTCGGTTAAAGGCCTTTTTTTGATATTAAGGAACATTTCTTTAGGATTTGTAATTTAAAATGAATCAAAACTGGTCAATAATCAATTAATTTCAGGAATCAAATCGTAATTTGATTTCAGGTCAGCTGTTGACTACATACAGAAATAAATACAACTATTGGGCCGAACACGGACTAAATCGAGTCATAAGACATATTGTAACGTTCCGGACGTTTGCACGAGGAAGGAAAAGTAATCGAATACCCACTAATCTTCACCACCTACAATGGTTCTTTTTCATGCCTCCTTTTTCAAACAAGTTGTCTCAAGGGTGTTGTTCTATATTGAGTTATTCAGGCGATAAGTGTTGCGTTTGTTCTATCAGCCATGGGGATGATTTAAAGTGGCAACGTCCAGCATTCAGAGCACACATTAAGCAGCTATGTCGTAATGTCGACCTGAGCCAGGGAGGAAGTCGCCCCCCCCCGTGTGTGTTGTTCTACCAGCTTCTTCTTGCTTTGCTGCCATAGTCGGTCGCAAAACAAGGTGCATATGTACTTGCTGTAACACGCAGCCCCCCACCTCCAACCCCAATTGTTTTCAAACGGCCTCCAACAGCCTGTCACCCGCAGTGTGAGTGCTCCCTTACTTCAGCCGAGCAGGGGGAGAGCTTTCAGTCCGGTAAATAATAAACAACAAGGTTATTAATACAATATCCTCAGGAGACCGTGAAATGTTGTGTTACTTAAATCGACTAATCCCCTGTTGAAATAATGCTTGAGCCCGGCCGGGGAGGACAATGCACATGTAATGACCCTCACTGCACAGTGACTCATGCTGCACGGCAGCACTGCACCAAGACAGAAAATAAAGCCGTTTCCTTACTTGCAGGTTTTCTTCATTTTCTTTATAGAACTAGAGACTGCCGGAGGAGAGAAAAAAATCTTTAAAATAATTTTCTTCTCTGCATTTAATTTGCAGAGGAACTTCTATGGAGTGGTAATTATGAATTATCAATAACATAGAACAATCTACATCTTGTGCAGTGGTACCAGAAAACATATTATGGTAATGAGCTTATATATTAGTGCATTTTCAATTTTCATTCCTTTATTCGCCTCCACACCGCCGTGCAAAATGTGCTGGTGTGCAGAAATGTCTTTGAAGGAGTGACTCTTGCTCGTGATGAAACAGCTGTACTGTAGACTACGACGTGATACTGCGTCTCATTCAGCACAACAAAGCAGGGAGATATCAAAGAAGGAACACAGCAAAGGAAGACACTGCTGCCAAAGAGTTAATCCTGTCTAATCCAGCTTTGTTCACAGCAATTTATATTTAATGACATCCTTTGACATTGACAAGACATTTTAATGGCATCATAAGAGGTTATGTATAATAATTCCCTGTACTTTCAATTTTCACAAGATGTTTATTTATTAAAAGGATGTGTAAACTTGTAGACAACATCATAAACTATCTTAATGTAATTAACTGTAACTAAATTATGGTTTTAGTTCAACACTAATAATATACTGCTGATATTGATACAAATTTACAGAAATTTCTACTCCGAAACAAGTAGTAAGAAGTTAGTAAGATCCAAAAGGGTGTTTGCTCAGCAGTTTGCTCATAAAGCTTCCTGAAATCATTTGTGATACAGGAATATATAAATAATGTTGACAATCTGACATGGAAATTGGCTTGGCTTTGTTTAAACACCCATAATATTGTGAGGCGAATTAAAACCAAATGTTTTTGTCAATTTTGAAGAAAATGAGAAGTATGGCTTAAATTTTTGAACTAAACTAAGCATGAACATTTGGTGAACACTGCTGCTTAAGTACCTTTTACTATCAGGGGAATATTTTTGAACATGGTGGTTTCCTCCTCCCTTGACATTGGTGCCATGCTGATGATGATGATGATTTGTTTGTACCAATTAGTTTTTCTCCAGTAGACAATGGCTTTTCAAGGAAATTATTAAAAAAACTCACATATCAGGAGGACTTATGATAGTGACTAAAAGCAGCAACTATTAGTCCCTCTAAAGCCGAGCAAAGTAAACCACAGTAAAATAAGTTTCTGAGTGACAGAGCCATTAACACAGAGGAGGTCGTATCAAATCAGAAGCCATCAAATTAAAAGCAACATGTCAAGACTGAAATACCCCAGTAAGTCACACCATGCTGGGAGTCCACAAAGCAATAAATTGGCCGCATGATTAGCTATTAAAAGTATGTGAAATTAACTTTTATTGCATATCGTCTATCACAGCATGAGCCTTTCAGCATAATGGATAAGACGAAGGTGAAATCTTAATTGGGGAAAAGGAAATAATTATTAAAGGGGTGGAGGGACATTTTACATTTTCTTTTGACTTTACCCTTTTGTGTTGTTTTCCTATGCCCACACTGAATGAAGTGTGACGGACTTTGATTTAATTATTAAATGCATTAAACCGGCACATGCAATAAACACGTAGAACTGAAGTGGCAGAAGGTCTGTTTGACAGATTTTACAGCATCGTAAGCTCATTTCGCATTTAGGGCTACGCGGCCAACAATGAGCTAACACAGAAGTGTGCGGCACAGAGATGATAATGATGTTGTGAATATAGAGATCAAAGTCTTCTCTCTGGTGATTACGTGTCATAACAAATGCACGTACGAGGACAGTCTTATCACCCAGGACCACACAGAGGATTTTCATATCTGCCCGCTCTCAGATGGCCAACCTGTGCCCGCCGCCGTGTGCGGCGCTGCCAAATAAAAGCACCGCAGGCGTCGCCCGTGTGGCCAGCCCGGCCTGCTTATTTCACTGATGAAAGGGGAGTTCCTCCATTTAGAAAATGGAGAAAAACAAAAAAAAAGTTTCCAAAGCCTTATCGGTCCAGAAAAGAACGCATTTGGTAATTCACTGAAACACAAGAAGCAGTCTGGAGAATTTTAACTTGTTCCAACTTCACAGCTCACAGCTTAAATTTTGTGTATTATGTAGACTGTATTTTTTGAGCTTGGTAAATTATATTCATGCTTTAACAACCGTGGGAGGAAAAGGAGTGTGGAGCAGCTTTTTATGAACCATAATCTTCATTTTAAAATGGCCTGTGTGCTTTTTACCTTGAACAAGCAGAAAACCCTCTTATTCAGCAGGCGGCCTGTTTCATTGACACAGGTTGACAAATGGACCATCGTTGCTGCCTCTTGGTAGGGTTTTATTTCTTCCAAAACCGGTGTGATTAATACCGGATTCAGTCATTACACTAATGGACTTGCGTTTTAATTAATTGCATTGCATGTTAATTATCTAAATCATTGTGTCTCAACTGTTCACTGTAATTAGTATCTCCACTCAATCAAGCCATGTCCGAGAGATAATCCTGCTTTTTTACTGTGGCAGGAATTCTTTGTTACCTCATAATATAAAACAACATCCAGATTGCAGTTACTATGAAGATTAACTTTTTTTTACTAAACCCATGAAGCTATTTTGGGGCAGAGACCAACGCATTAATCTGTGCTGAGAAGACGTTTTCCAAATTATCTTTATTGGTCTAACTGGGCTATAATAATAACAGTAAGACAATTCACAAGGACGATTTCATCATCATGTGCTCCATACACATAATGAGGGCCACTTCTGCCGAGAAAATATCAGCATTTTTTTTCCAGACAGTTATTCTCTACACTGTAGAAAAACGGAGACTAAAACTTCCCAGGGGAGCAGCAGATTTTACACTGGAGATATATAATATTGGGAAACGCAACAGAATTAACCTGAACACTAATAACACACAGAATAACATTACGCATTGTAAATGTATTCTTATATTTGTTTGGCCCAAAATCTGCTTTTTGTCAGGTTCATCAGCCGGAAATCAGGACTCACATGCAGATCAGCAGATTCAAGCGAAAATTTAGTTACAAAAGACACACGCAGGGAAACACAGGTTTTTGCACACAAACCAACAAGGAATAAAAAAAACGACAAGGAGACAAGGGACACGCATGGTCTAAATCCACTAGGGAGGTGCAGGTTATTGGAGCAGGAAACGAATCACACATGACGGCCAATCACAGAGGGCGGAGAAAACAAACCAGGGCAGGAAGGGGAGTTTACTCAAATTTGTCAATTATTATATGAAACACGAGAAGCTCAAATGTGCTGACTCTCAACACTCGTTTGGATTTCCAATAGAGCCGATCAGACGGTGGAGTTGCTGTCACCAGCTTGAGTTTGCATTCACGCTGTCAAACCACTTCACGATCAATACTGATTTGATCGAGGGACCACAGTGCGGCAGCACAGGAATTGCTGTTGACCTTGTTTAGCGGGTTGCGTTTATGAGCTGTGATCAAACCGTGATTTAATCTGATTCAGTTTTATGACTTCAGAAAAATGAAGAAACTACAACTAAGTTGTAATTGTGATGAAACACGATATGAGTGATCTACATAGGAGTGATCCATCTGTGATGCCCAGTCTTAGCGTTTGCTGATTTAATATATAAAAAGAGACAGGAAAGAATGAGTGGGCGAAAAATGAGTCAACAGGCACCGACTGCAGAGCCTGAGACGGAGAAAAGTCTGCAGCCAGAGACTTCACAGAAGAAGAGAAAGCAAAGGGCTCCTACCTGAGAGTAAACATCTCCACGGGAGAGTCGGCCGACGCGGTGATGAAGGCAGAGACGGTTTCCCTCTGTCTGACGGGCGCGGCCGGCACCATGACCATAAAGTTGTTGTCGAGCCTGTGCGCGGCGAGGGGCGGCGCGGGGGGATTCTGGTAGAGCCTCACGCCGCCAATCCTGCGCAGCGGCGTGGAGGTGTAGGAGCCGAACAGCCCTTCCTGGCTCGAGCGGACGAAGGTGTCCTTCCTGGCCTCCTCCGAGTGGCACTCCCCTGCGTCCGTGGACTGCAGCGTGTAGTAGAGCTCCACCGCCGTGCCCTCGGACGCTTCGAGGTTCCTCTGGCGTCCCGGCACTACGCTGGGCGGGCTGAACCAGCTGGCCAGGGGCTCCAGCTCGGCCACGCACAGCCCCAGCCCGCCCTTGAGCTGGCACGTGCCGCGCACCTCCTGGGTTTCGTGGAAGGCAAACATGTGCACGCAGGGCAGCTTGTCGATGGCGCTGTAGTCGTCCCAGTCCCTGCCTGCGACGTAAAACAGCACCTGGACCCTGGGCTTGGCCAGGTGAATCCTGGTGTCCATGATGAAGGTCTGGACCTTCCAGTTGAAGGTGAAAACAGAAGAGGCGGGAAACGTCCCCGGGCTCTGTAGGAGCTCCAAGGGGACCTGCTGCTCCACGGAGAGAGGCCCGTAGCTGGTGTTCATTGAGGGCAAACTCCTGGCCTGGTAGATAAAGAAGGGCTCAGTCCGGGACATCAGGCTGGAGTTCCTCATGAAGTCCTGGTTGGCTTCCTTCAGGAAGAACGCCAAGTCCGCGTTCAGCACCTGGTAGTTGACAGGCAAGTACGTGGGGAGGGAGGAATATCTCTGCAGTCCCTCTAAGACTCGACAGTCGGCAACTAAAAGACAGAAAAGAACTCAAAGTCAGGGCGGTTTAGCAGAACTGGAGGATAGTGAGTGACAGTCTTTTGAAGCAGTACCAATCTGGTACAACACAACCATAATACGCATAATGTTCTTCTCCAGTAGGTCAAGTGGCCCCGCTTACACACCTTGACCAACACGAATAGTGCTTTTCCGTGATTGGCCAGTGGGAGATGACAGACTCTTATACTCTGTTATTGGTCCAACACAATTAGATTATTACAAACAATTGTAATAGCTGTTTATCAAATCATCTTTATTCCACATAATTGTAAAGCGGATTTGTGCCCTTTTGCCAAGTTTCCTTTCCTATTGCCACTCGTGGAGGAACAGCACAGCCTGCATAGAAAAAAAAGATTTCTAATCACAATAAGAACGTGCTTTGACCTTCCTCTCAAGAGCAATCTGCTCTGTGATTACACTCAGCGTTCCACAATCCTCCTGCTGGCTGCCGGAGGATTTCTTTCCTCTCATCATCTGTGTAAATCAATGTCCTCACAGTTTACAAATCAGACCGGGCTTTGTGATTCATGGTGACCCTCTTGACCTCAGGGCTGCTGTCCCACTGGCAGCACACGGGTGCAGGCCGGCTCTGACCCCTGACCAGCACCCAGGGAGCACCGGTCCTACCTGAGGCACCAGTTAGCTTCTCCAGAGTGAAACGCCCTGATCCTCGTCGGTACACCAGGGAACACACCTTTCTGAACAACTGGGCAATTTGTATTTTTCCTGAACCAGCAGGAGCCTCGTGTTATTTGTGTCCGTGGGTTTTGTGCTGCTGACAAATGAAAAGCTTGATAGTCCCGCAAGAACAGAACAGTCAGGAACAAAGTCGTACTCGGGTCCCTTGGTACTGTGGTAATGTTACTCTCACTCTCACGTAGATGCCAAAATGTCTGAAGTGAAAGAAAAGTGTTCTCTCCATCACTGGACCGCGCACATTACTCTTATATTCAAATGACATGTTTCCCAGCTGACAAAAAGGAATAAAATGTGCTCAGACTTTTGCTTGTACTGAAAACACTGATCCGCTGCAAGGAATAATTAAAAGAATTGTATATTAAGTTGCTGATTTATAAGTGGATCTGTCATTGTATGTTTTACTTATAGATGTTACATTGTGCAGCAGACAGAGGCTGTTGTAATGTATTCATCTGCAGGGACCAAATTATCCATTATTTAGAATATTATGAATACATTACAAATAATGAACCTCTAAAAGAGTGCTCTGTTAATATTTGATGCCAGCAAATAGATCAAATCAAGAACCAGACTAAATAAATGAATCTCTAACTATTTAAAATTACATCTGCTGCAGCTAATGTGTACAATCAAAAAAGTAATTTGAATGCAACCTAAAGAAAAGCAGCAAGGAACATATTGTGTACAAAATAAATCTAAAGTAAGAAAATATGCTGGTGAAAAGGGGAAAATCCATCAATAATAAGGATCTTGATATGTCTGGATTTACGGTGTGGCTAATTATTTATTTTGGACTCTACCACTAACTACTACTAACAAAAAAGGTTTAACTTTAACCATACTTTTTTAATTGGTTCAATCCATGCTTCTGTTTTTATATTCTGTGTATTCCTGTGTACGTGTACGCGCCCCTAAACAATGGCCAGGTAGTTGGGTCTGAAAAACAAAACTGCAAAATAATCCTATTTTCGGACCAACAAAGCCTGGAAATATCCAAACCCAATTGCAGCATAATACAGAATTAGTATGCCTGTGTTAAATATTGGAATAAATGAATCATACAAAGCTTTCAAGATGTATAGTTCCCTTCTTTGTTTTGGGGAGGAGAAATCGAAAAACACATAAACTCTAGCAGTTCTTTGTTTTTGGGGCAGCGGGGGTTTAGCTCAGAGAACTGGACCCCCTGAGAGAATAATGATGTAGCCACTCCTGTTTAATAAAAGCTCTCGTCTCCTGCTGGGGCCCCTATTGGCTGGTTATGACGTCCCTTCGGCCACTTTACTTGGTTTTACTGGACACTGAGCGTCTGTTTGACAAGATTAATTGGACTTTTGGAAAAGAATGCTCAGTGTTTTCTTCCATTTGATACAACTTACTTAGTTAATACCATTCCAAATCCCAGTAACAATAGTTTGATTACTTACAGTTTAGCTTGTCTCCTGTCTTACCAGCAGGGTGAGACAAGGGTTGATGATTCTGCCCTCCGTTGACCCATCACAAAATAAATGACCAAATTACAGTAACTGTGTAAGAAGTAATGATAATAGTTGCTGTTACATTTCAAGAATTATTTGAGGTTTGGCAGTCGTATTTGCTGAAAAATATGGCGACTTGGAGCGATATACTGTAACTATTAGCTGGCAGAGAAATGCTAAGGCAGAGGACAATATACTGAGAAAAATGCATATTTCAGCATACAATTTATAATCCACATGTATAATTAAATCTCCCTATTGTGTGAAATTAAATTGTAAAACATTTTGCTGAGCCGGATAAACTCAAATGTTTGGGGCTCTTTCTTCATTTCCAGTCTTTTAACAAGATGGGTTTTTTTCTTTCTCTCTGCATGGAAAGGCTGCTGAGGATATATTTCCTCATAACACAGCTGCCACGACCAAAATACAGAGGAAGGTTGCAATCGTATCGAGTCTCAGAATCTGCAATCTCTGCCGTCACGGTTGCAGGTTGTGTGTAAGGTTGGTTGTGTACAAGCGTGCAGCGTGTGTGAGGCTCACCCAAAAATGTTACAATTAGTTCCGTCACTTTAAAACATCTGACGCCACTGCTACGCTCAATTTAAGCTCTCCAGTTGCTGATGTTAACAGCCAGAGGTTTTCCTGTCAGACATGGCTGTGTAGAGATGTGCAGGGGAGGGGGGGGGGGCAGGTCTCAGGTGAGCGCAAACTAGCCAAGCAGCACTCCTCCTGTACCCAACCTCATACGGGGGCCCACGCATCCTGCCATCGGGGCTCCGCGCTAGGACATGTGGAGCTGGAATGGGACCAGCGGAGCGGAAGAGCAGCCTTCACACCCGCAGGAGTGGAGTAAATGAAAAGCCACAATAAAAAAAGGACACCGGGGAAGGAGAGGCAGCGTTCCCGCTGTCCACGCCTGGCCGTTGTAGTATGGGTGGACACAGAAGATGAAGGTTGCCTGTCCATATGCTCCATCACGCATGTCAGGACAGAGGAGAAAACAAGGCGCAAGGACAGAAGGCTCAATATAACGTAGCAGAAGTAGGTGGTGAGCAACGACGGGCAGAGTGATAGAGAAACGGTCCTGTGATGTCTGGATTCTCTTAAGATGTTCACTTTTGAATGATCACCTTCAGGGGGTCACAGACAATATGATTTTTAAGGGCATTATTGCAAAGCTGCTGTTTGTCGAGGTTTACAATTACAATGCCTTTGACCCGCATCGTGACCCTGAATCATTCTGAGCTTTGTCATGAATGCCAAACAGTACAGTCTTAAACATGAGGGATGACTGAAAGCGCTCTGGTCCCGTTGAATTACCCACATCATATTTCTCTCCATGTTCAATTAATAAGGGCTATTGAATTTGTGACCGTGCGTCAAGAATAATAATTACACTTCTTCCCTTCGAGGATCATTTGCTGATGATTTATGCTTTTCAGTCACCAGAAAATCCCAGAAAGAGGGACTGAAAAAAGAATCAATACATGACATAGTAGGGTTTTACTTCATGCCGGCATCCAAAGGAGAGAAATCATTTGGGCGCAGAGACGCCTGTGGAGTCTGCCAGCTGATAAGTGAGAGTCTGGAGGATCAAGGTAGGGCGACAATACAAAGTTTGGAAATCTTCCGAGGGAGTAGTGAACACAGATGACTCTTCATCTAGGAGATGAGCTGAATCCAATGCACAATGATTTCAGTCAGTTTAAATTAGTGTGCGTGTGTGTGTGTGTACTCGCAGACTACAGAGGGACCTGCTGGGGCTGTTTGTTGCCTCGCCGCTAATGGATGGCCACATTCAAGACACTAAGAGCTAATAAAGAGTAATGGCCGTGTGGCACCACAGGGGAGGAGGACGAGCTATTTTGAGTTCATGAGAGAAAGCATCATCTCGGGGATTAAAGAGTATCGACCGGTGAAGAGTAAACACTGCCATGCCCCGCTGCAAGAGACAACCCCAAATGGCCGCCGCTGTTAGTGGGATGTTCAGTGGAGGATTGGGGGGGGGACGTCTTTAAAGGGGATGCTGAGAAGAGCCTCCCAGGTGCTGCGAGGAGGCCTGATACGTCTGGATCCGTGTCACCGCAAGAAGAAACTGCAAACTGGGTGGCGAGAACCCTGAGCATCCTGGGCGTCCTTGGGGCAGAGGACAACGCCTCCTTTGTGCCACCCGGTGCACATGGCTGGAGGGGAAAGGGGGTTGAGAGCTGTTGGCTTGGATGGGGAAAACGTGAGACAAGAACATATCTGTTTGCCAATCAGTATTCACACGGCCCCCTCCGGACTTCTCGAAAAAACATAAACTGAGCTTCCTAAATGAATCTCTTTCCCTCACACGGGCCGTTATTGCAAAGCGATATCGTAAATCAGGTTAAATAACGAGGCATTCGCCGGGCAGGGCTCAGTCGGCCTCTTTGTGAGCGCAGAGGGACAGTTAATGGTGATCGAGCTGTGTTAGCGCAGAGGGGTACAAACACCACCAGGACTTATTGGCCACCAACTGATTTGAGCCGGCTTGGAAATTAAACATTTTAAACGGCAAATAGGATTCTAGGGGCAGATTACCTGAGAATTGATTGCAATCAAATTAAATTCAGATCGGTTACAGTAATTCACTTTTCAATGTTCTCCAACTCAATCATAGCTGCCCTCCTTCAGTGTTATCAACAAGAAATGATGTGAACACTGCAACCAAATAAAATCAATCAGATTGAGCATCTTTTAAAATGCTGCTCAAAAATGAAGCAGTGTGATGTCATAATAACAATAGTTGGGAATCAAGCTATAATATTTCTCTG